AATGAAAGGAAAACCATCAAATCTTAAATTATTTTAATTGTTTACATAAAAATGCATTGATTGGTGGTGAATTTTCGAAAAAATTTCGGAAATCTTTGAATGCAGTTCTCTTTCTTTTCAAAAATAAAATAATGTTTTCTTTGAGTAAAATTTTCTATCTACAGTATTAAGAGTACTTTCCCTCCAGGTGGCATTACAAAATTCCACCCTGTATATTAGGCCTTCGAGCATCTTTCATTCTTCTTCACCAAACTCTGCCAATAGCTTATTCACGCTACGTCGGCTGCCGACACAATACGTCTTTGTCTTACTAAACAATACGACAACATTAATCCAGTTTGTCGAGAAAAATCACAATAGACTATCGATACGGTGTACCAGGATGGCGAAGCTTTACGCCCGTATTCACAAACATTACTATGAGGTCTCACAGTGTGCGTGGGGGTGACACACGAACCAATCACAGAGCTCTATTCAACGCTGGCCGTTCGATTTGCTGCTTCACGCAAGCATCGTTTTGAATACGGGCGTTCGTATCAACGTGCCACTTTTCTAAAAAATGTTTGATAGATACGAGTAGACGTGCCATCCAATAACACCTAAGGCGGGTTTTAGAATCGCGCTGACCGCTCGCTGATCGTCGGCGCTGACAGATCAATCTGTATGTAATTGAAGGGAACGTTCCTGAGTGGCTCTGATCGCTCGGCGCCGACGCTACATACATTTCGGCTGTCAGCGCTGACGATCAGCGTGCGTCAGCGTGACTCTAAAACCAGCCTAACACTTAATGTGAGAAATGAGGGATATTGTATAATTGCCGCCACTGCACTGGTGAATGACAGGATCTTACTCTACAGTGGCATTTACTAATGAAGGGCAAATACGATAACCCTAAAGAACATAGCACACTTATCAACCCAGAAAGGGAACAACACCGTATCGCCTTTTGCCCCGCTGTCAACCACGAGGCGAGGCGTTTACGTTACGGTACGCTCTGTGCGTTGCATTACGTAGTTTCATCGACTTGATACGGTTACGATCCGTTTTGGGAGTGTGCTTCGTCTTTCTTTCATAATACATCTTATTTTTTTATCTTATAGTGATTTTTGTGGTTTTGTGCCGTTGGTTCGCCATCCCTGCCGTATACGGTGTTACAACAGCGAGTAAAGAAATATTTGTCCGCCATTGTTAATACGGACGAGCCATTTAGTCGTAAGAGTTATGACAGCGATTTCAAATGCTTGTTATTTGTTGAGAAAAATACATAGGTACTGTATTCTGAACGATAGCTTATGAAGATGACTTTCATGTCACCTGCCTGTTATTTTATCCATTAACGGCCGCCCGCGACTTCGTACACGTGGATCCCGTTTTACCCCCTTAGGGGTGGAATTTAGTAAAATCCGTTTTTAGTGAGCACCTACGTTCTAAAAAGAACACCCATGCTTGACTCCACTTGCACTTGTAGTATATGAGATTTCGTGATGAATGAATAAGTAAGTCAGTCTGTAACCTTTCGCTTTTATAAATATAGATAGACTAGCGGCCGCCCGCGACTTCGTATGCGTGGATCCCGTTTTACCCCCTTAGGGCTGGAGTTTCGTAAAATCTTTTCTATCCAGTGGTTTAGGCTGTGCGTTGATGATCTCAGTCAGTATGATGTCAATCAGTCAGTCACCTTTGAGTTTATGTATATATTTAAGATATATCTTAATCATTTTAATATTGTGATTCAAATTATCAGACTACGTCTCGCAATCGTAGTTGGTTTAAAATGTTTTCTGATCGATAACCAAAAGAGAATAGCTGGATGAAAAAAGCAAAAGATTGATCATACTTTGTGGTGAGGGGAATTTTTAAATCCAGCAGAGGCAATGTGGAAGCATCGATGATGATGATGATGACCATATAATGAGAAAAATAGGTTTGATTTTGTACCAATGTACGAGTAAGCTGGCCTTGCCTGTAGGTATAATTATGTAATGTATAACTGCACTAAGCCAACTTAAATATTTGGTAATACAGTTGTTTCATAACTTTTGTCTTAGAACTTGTCTATTTTAACTAATACAACAACAATAATACTAATAACTTAAAATTAAATAATTTCTTCAAACGTATGCGACCTTAGTAGCTGTTCTTTTTGTTATTTTCGTGGATAACAGTGCTGGTTGTGCATTTATTTAAGATATATCTGTAAGACTTTTTGTAAAACCGTTTGTACAATTGTTTGTTGTCCCTAATAAAATAAAATAAAAATAAAATAAGCTCTGACCTCTGCAATTCACTTGAGGTACTCTTGTACCTCAAGTGAATCGCATAAAGATATTATAAGCTTTAGAAACACAATACCGATTTTGTCTCTGGCAATACAAACCAATAAATAATAAATCCCAACTAATATTATAAATGCGAAAGTAACTCTGTCTGTCTGTCTGTCTGTCTGTCTGTCTGTCTGTCTGTCTGTCTGTCTGTCTGTTACGCTTTCCCGCTTAAACCTCGCAACCGATTTTGATGAAATTTGGCATAGAAATAGTTTGAGTCCCGGGAAAGAACATAGGATAGTTTTTATCCCGGTTTTTGAAACAGGGACGCGCGCGATAAAGTTTTTCTGTGACAGACAAAATTCCACGCGGGCGAAGCCGCGGGCGGAAAGCTAGTAATAAATAAATAAATCTTTGGACAATTTCACACAGCGTCAGCTAGCCCCAAAGTAAGCAACTTAATGCTTGTGTTATGGGTGCTAGCTTAACGGATATACTACTTATATACTTTTTTTTTAAATACATAAATATTATACATAGTCACACCCAGACCCGTCACAGAAATTAAAATTCATCATTTCAATTTCTGCCCGATGAAGAACCAATGAAGACACTATTTTGCTTACACAATTGACTAACTTTTTATCAATTTCCAAGATTTTTGACTTCAAGTTGAATTTTATGACTAATTAAAAAAAGTCGTGCTTTTCATTTATTGGCAAAAGGTTATTTTATGCCCATTGGGTTGGGTCAATAGTGTTTTACCCCGTAGCAATGTCAAAATACCTTTATTTACAGCTCTGTTTTATCCTATTATTTAAAGGTCCACTGTCCAACCGGCCATGTAACGTCGAATTTTGGCCGGAATCCAATTCGTAACGCACAAGTATTGCTATGTCGAATACACGCCACAGGCTGCTTCGACGTTTCGTACGAATTTCTGGACAGAATGGAGGTTAATGAAGTGAATTCAGTTCTCTGTCGAAAAGGAAAGTCTACTAAATACATTCTAATTGCGTTTTAAATCGAATGATTACTTAGTTGTTCGTCGTTACTTAGGTCTTCGTGGAAATCCTTGGGGGAGGCCTTTGTCCGGCAGTGGACGTCTTTCGGCTGAAACGAAACGAAACGAACTTAGTTGTTAAAATTTGGGCGAATTTTCTTAAGGAAAGAAGATTTTATTATTCTTGCTTTTTTATGGACCCACCCATACCATACTACAGATACCAGATCAGTAGATCCGTTTCAACCACGAAGACGCGACCCACCATTCTTCCGCTAATGTTTGAGTGTTATCGGTACGGGTCCGTGCAGTGGCGGCGTAGCATAGACAATCGGACCCCCCGTATCATGACATAGACCGCAGATTTGCCATGCAGATGCGCCAGTGAGTACTAATCTGCGCGACTTGTGTCACTCCCTGATGCTTGGCACCCGGGGCGGACCGCCCACACCAATGTTTATAAACGAATAAATATTTATTAGGCCAGTAGAATTAAACACAAGAATGAATCTAATGAAATGAAAATAATTCCTACAAAAGTTTTTTGTTTCTTACTACTGCTGGTTTTGGGTTAAAATTTTGCTCCCAGATTATGTAAATAGCGTCAAACATGCATAGTTTAGTTTAATAGTTCGCTTGTGAAACTTTTTTCGTTAACTGTACTTAGTGCAAAAGCCGAAAAAATATGATATTAAATTTATTTAAATCAGGGGCCTACCACGGTTGCGTCGAACACTGGGGGACTCGACCACGGAGTACGGACCCATCGGTACACGCTAAATCATCCATGAGTGCACACGCACACTACAATAATGACGCTCGGATTGCTCAGATCAAACAAGCCTAATTCTTTTTTTTTTCATAAAGCAAGTACCTAAATATTTGACTGTAATTGATCCTTTACAATTTCCCCATCTTGCACAACTTCTTGGATGCGGGCAACGCAAAATCGGTCGTAGGTAGTGGAAAGCCTTAGGAGTCTTTTGTACAACATTGGACGTCCTTTGGTTGAAACGAATAGTTCATTCGTAGAATATCCTATACTGCCATCGATGTTTTTTATCCAATAGAATAGAGGATTAAAATTAAGAAAGAGAACTTTTATTACTATAAATTTAAACTAGACACGAAATTTTTGTGGTTCTCTCCATTTTAATGTCAATGAATTATGATATCTTTACTATTTGAAATCCTAAACGGATCTATCGAGCGAGATATTTACAAAAAGAAATCCAGGGGATAACTTCGTATGGAACCAATTTCTCTAAATGTGATTCGAGATCTAACTAACTGGATTGCTCCACCTGAGATCCAATCCCGGGAATGTAGCCCGAAAAGATAAGACAGGTTGTTAGCTATACTAAATTTTCAAACAAACGGCGAACAAACCTCTTTTCCACAGTGCCAGCCGCGTGCTCAGCCGGGCCCGGCGTATCTCCGAAATGCAGTTTGCTTGTGAAGTATTTAGCACATATTGATGAAAAAGACCATAGTTCCATAGGGGCTGGATCCCGCACTCATTAGATTCACTTGATTTTGGAAATTGACAAACGCTTATGTGGTTGCCGAATTAAAGAACACACCGCTGTTGCGCACGGGCGTCCTTCCGAACTCAAAACTCTTGCGTCACTGGGGGGCGTCGCAATCGCAATCGCGAGCCTAGCTCCACAGGATTGGAAAGAATGTTGCCAGTTTGTGATTAAAAAATGCAATTAAGAAAAAAAGCAAATTCCTTCCAGTTTGTGTTGTTTTATCTTAAACTAAAATTAAGAAACTAATAAATATATTTCGGTACGAAACATACCGCTCACCTTAAAAGTACCGAGTATCTTTTAACAAGACAAAACCTACGATAAGAAACTTACAAGTATCTAAGCTATTTGTAGAGTGAAACCTAACTATAAACCTAAAACTACTCTAGCTTTACTTAGATGCAAAACGTACCTACTCCCTACTCAACAGGAAGAGGACAAATCTTAACAACAGCTCGTTTGAAGAACGACTGTCCAATTTGTAAAGTAACGACCCGACAGATCCCGTCAGGACCTGGGTGTAAGGCGTGAACACGCGCAAGTCTCCACTGCAAGGGAGGAACGTTGTCTTCGCGTAACACCACAATCATGCCCTCACGAATCGGGGCACCGCGATTACTAAACCACTTGGTTGCTTGTTGAATATGATGTAAATACTCAAGACTCCATCTCTTCCAAAAATGTTGAGTGGACTGTTGGATGAGACGCCATCTTACTAAGCGGCTAGGATTCTCATCCACTAAAGAAATGTCAGGAATTGACGTTAAGGGCTCACCTATTAAAAAATGTGATGGAGTCAAAGGGAGAGGATCCCTTGAGTCTGCACTTAAAACACAAAGTGGGCGCGAATTGAGAATCGCCTCTATTTGACATAAGAGCGTATGCATCTCGTCATATGTCAAAGTTCGTGTGCCGACCACACGATGAAAATGATGCTTAAAGCTTTTAACACCCGCTTCGAATAGTCCACCAAAATGACTAGCGTATGGGGGTTGAAAATGCCAAGTGATGCCTTGACCAAGAACCTTTGAATTGAGCGTAGTTTGTACTACGTCATTACGCAAGAAACTATACAATTCCGTAAGATACCTATCGCATCCCACGAAATTCTTTCCACAGTCTGAATAAATATCGGTACACAAACCGCGTCGCGAAACAAAACGCCTAAGTGTAGCTAAAAACGCTTCTGTGGAAAGCTCCGAAACGATCTCTAAATGTATAGCCTTAACGCTCATACATACGAAAACTGCTACATAACATTTAACTATTTTAGCGTTACGAACCTTATTTGCCCGAACGTAAAATGGACCTGCGAAATCTACCGAAGTTTTTATGAATGGTCTGGCCGGTCGCAAGCGAGCTGCGGGCAACAAACCCATTGACGGCTGCGTGTGCGCGGGGCGCGCACGAACACAACGGACGCATCGATGAATGCGTTGGCGGATGACGTCACGACTTGATAATATCCAATACTTTTGTAAAAGTGTATATTGGGTGCTTTGAGCCCCACTGTGCAAGTTTGAAACGTGAATAAAGTCAATTAGTAAATAAGTTAAAGGATGTTTTTTAGGTAAAATCAATTGATGTTTTGACTCAAAAGATAAAAGCGATTTATGAATTCTACCGCCAACGCGAAGCAACTTGTTTGAATCTATAAAAGGATTAAGACGTTTCAATTGATTTGATGGTGATTGCCCATTACAAATCTTCAAAATATCATCATTGAAAACTGAATGTTGAACAACTCGTATAAGTCGATTCAAAGCGAAATTATACTCTGACACAGTAATGTGTTTTGAACTCGAAATATTGACCTTTCTACACTTGTGATAGAAACGAAATATCAAAGCCGTAACACGAACAAGTCTACCGAGTGAAGAAAAACGTGAAATAATTTCTACGTCCTCGTTTGGAGTAGAAGTACTCGAACACAACACAACATTACGCTTTTCTTCATCAGTAGGAAGAACAGGCTTTGGAACAGGCCACATACTTTCATCCTCGCTCAACCAGCGAGGCCCATGAAACCACATCTCATGGTGCAAGAAAGCAGCGGGTAACATGCCGCGCGAAGCAGCGTCCGCGGGGTTGTCGGCCGACGGGACGTGCCGCCAACAATCCGCGGGGACAATATTCAATATCTCCGTAGTACGGTTTGAAACAAATGTTTTCCATTCATGGGGCGGTGAACGCAACCATGCTAAAACAATACTTGAATCCGACCAAGTATAAATTTGATCACTTTGTATTTTATCACTATAATTTTGTAACACCTTTTTAATAAGTTGTGATAACAAAACACCTCCCATCAGTTCGAGACGGGGAATAGATACGCGACGCGTAGGCGCGACGCGTGTTTTCGCTAACAATAAGGACACGCACACACTACCATCCTCGCGCTGCGCGCGGAGATAAACACATGCTGCGTATGCCTTTTCGGAGGCGTCTGAAAAGCCGTGAAGCTGTAATTTACAATTTTGAGGGAAAACATGACGCGGAAAGCTAACTTTAGATAATAGTGGGAGCTGACTTGTAAAGCTAGCCCACGAATCGACTATGTCTTGTGGTGGGGTTTCGTCCCAGTCCACAGAAGAAATCCACAATAATTGAATTAAATGTTTTGCAAATAAAGTCACTGGAGATAAAAGACCGAGAGGGTCGTAAATACGTGCAATTTCTGAAAGAATGGACCTCTTTGTACATTTTTCAGAGTAACTTTTCACACTGAAACCAAAAGTATCTAAGTTCGGGTCCCACTGCATACCTAGGACCTTAGTGGATGAGTCATTCTCCATGTGTGCGAAGGGCACACTTTCGCACCGCTCACCATGAGAAACTGTCGGCTGAGAACCGAGAAGTAAGGCGGGAGAATTACTATGCCACTTGTGCAACTCAAAACCTGCGGATTGACAAATACCTATCAACTCTTGTTGTAGGGCGAGAGCCCGTGACTCATCACTTTCACCTGATACGACATCGTCTACAAATACGTCGCGCATGAGGACCTGCGATGCGCGCGGGAAGCGTGCGGCCTCGTCATGAGCGAGCTGCTGAATGGTGCGAAGAGCAAGATAGGGCGATGAGCTAACTCCAAAGGTCACAGTGCAAAGTCTGTAATCGCGTAGGGGCTCCTCGGGCGAGGTGCGCCACACTATACGCTGAAAATCCCTATCCGATTCACGAATCATAATGTTACGATACATTTGTTTGATATCAGCTGTGAAAGCAATTAAATGAATGCGAAATTTTAATAACACATCAACAATATCTAAATGAAGCTTTGGACCAATTAACAAATTGTCGTTTAGAGAAAAACCGTTTGTAGTCTTAGAGCTTGCGTCGTAAACTACTCTGGTTTTGGTGGTTTCACTAGATTCTTTGACCACGGCGTGGTGCGGTATATAATAGTTACCACCTGCAGCTGCTGGACTATCGACGGGCTCCATGTGGCCGAGCTCTAAGTACTCCTGGAGGCACGCGTGATAATCATGTTTGAGCTGCGAATTGCGCTCGAGTTTGTACTCTAATTTACGAAATCTAGAAACAGCAATATCCCGCGACTCGCCGAGGGGCGGTGCGTCAGGTTTGAAGGGAAGAGCGACCACGTATCGCCCACACTCATTACGCGTATGCGTGTTTTCAAAAAAAGATTGACACAAAAGTTCATCAGGAGTGAGAGACTTTTGTTCAGAAATTGTTTCTAATTCCCAAAATCGCTGGAGGTCAAAGTCGTCGTTAACAGAGCTGTGACACACCTGGACCGGAAGAGAAACCTCAATCGATGAATTCAAATCGAGTTTACCCAACAATAAATAACCAAAAATACTATTCATAGCAATTGGTGAACCTGGTAGACCCGTGATTGTGTTATGTAATAAAATTTGCGGAATAATGTCAGCACCTAAAAGCATTTCCACTGGTTGTGGTGTATGAAAACTCGGATCAGCTAAAGTTAAGTTTTGAATATGAGACCACCCTGTATAAGGTAATTGACAAGTAGGCATTTGTGTTGTAATTAATTTGGGCAAAATCAATGCATCAACATGAATCGAAGGTTGCGATTGATTTCTAGGCGCAATGAAGAAAGAAGCCACTCCCTTAGGATAAACCGGTTTGTTATTGTTTATTCCATAAACTTGCGGAACGTTCACACGTCTACGTGAAATACCTAAACGTTGTGCACACGCTTCCGAAATGAAAGTAGCCTGGCTGCCCGTATCAATTAAACAGCGCACGGTTGATAACTTGTGATCATCAATATAAACATCGACAAGTGCCGTAGACAATAACACCGTACTCGTACGCACAATAGAATCGTTTTCCTTATCTCGAGTTGACGTTAAAGTCAGCTGGGCATCAGTCGTAGAAACAGAGACAACATTATTACACTCCGCCGTGAGCGGGAGCGGGACGGACTGATTAGTACCGCTACTCGGATCGAACGCTTTGTTTACATTATTGTCAAAATGAATTAATGTGTGATGGCGCTTCTGACAATTCCTACACGAAAAATTGGATTTACATTGGCTCACGTTATGGCCGAGATGTAAACAATTGTAACAAACACTTTTGTTTTTAATAAAAGAAAATCGATCTTTTATTGAAAGATTCAAAAACTTAGAACATTTCGTCAACGTATGTTGAGCATCACATAACAAACAATGTGTCTTATCGCTATGTCGATTAGGCTGAGTATTGCCTGACACGTCAGAGGATTGCGGCGCGAAGTTCGCCGCGAAGGCTTGTCGCTGACCGGCGGCCATATTGCCGCTAGGGGGCGCCGCTCGCGAGCTAGACTGTGAGCCAAATCTACCGCCTTTATTGTTAATAATTTTACTCGACTGCCCGAAGTTATCGTTAGAAAACTCCTCAGCGACAAGTTCACGCTCTAAAAATGAAATGAATGTGTTGACCTCTGGAATGTCTGAAGGTGAACACAATGATAACTCGAATTGCTTACGAACAGATGCGGGAATTTTACGTAGTAAAATGTGTAACAAAACGAAACTCCATTCACTGGTGGGAAACTTCATTACTTCAAGAGGTTTAATGTTTTCTTGGAATGTATTTAATAAGTTACGTAAATCACTCGTTGATTTTACGTTACAAGATGGAATGTTGAGTATTTTATCAAGATGATTCGAAGCTATGATTCTTTTGTTTTCATAACGTGAAGTTAATATTTGTATTGCTACGAAATAATTAGCATCAGTGATTGGAATGGACTTTATAAGGTTGAATGGTTCATTTTTTAACGTAAGAAGCAAATACCTAAACTTTTCCGCATCCGTGTAGGCAGTATTGTGGTGAACGAGAGAACAAAACAAATCGAAATATGAATTCCATTCTGTGCTTTCGCCAGAGAAACTGGGCAAAGGCAAAGTAGGTAATTTAGCATTACTAGAAAATTCTGAATTAGCAAAGGGACGACTCATTCGTCTGCTTTGCTCCTGACATTGTTTTAATTTATCTACTTGAGTGACAATTGCATAATACGAATCGTCGAAGTCGTTTCTAATTTTGATTTGTTCCTCTTTATTGAATGATTTAGATTTAATGAGAGACTTTTCGACTTTAGTTTGCAATTTGCTAAACTTTCTTTGAAGAGCTGACAAATCTTTGGTACGTGAAATGAATTTTTGAATATCTGTAGTTGCAAACTGTAATGTTCTCTTTAAATCGTCTAAAATTAAATCTCGCTCGAAAATATCCTGAACACATGAACTACTACTCTCGCTATTGGAATCTAATGAGGTCTTGGAATCATTTTCCACTTTCGATTGCGCCATTTTGCGTTACAAAGATGGTCGCACGTGGAATGAAAAATGTGGTACGTATGTACGCTAAAATTACGATAAAACTACACAATTGGAAGGAAAATGAAAATTCGGGTCGTAGGACCAACAAATAATATGTTAGCTATACTAAATTTTCAAACAAACGGCGAACAAACCTCTTTTCCACAGTGCCAGCCGCGTGCTCAGCCGGGCCCGGCGTATCTCCGAAATGCAGTTTGCTTGTGAAGTATTAGCACATATTGATGAAAAAGACCATAGTTCCATAGGGGCTGGATCCCGCACTCATTAGATTCACTTGATTTTGGAAATTGACAAACGCTTATGTGGTTGCCGAATTAAAGAACACACCGCTGTTGCGCACGGGCGTCCTTCCGAACTCAAAACTCTTGCGTCACTGGGGGGCGTCGCAATCGCAATCGCGAGCCTAGCTCCACAGGATTGGAAAGAATGTTGCCAGTTTGTGATTAAAAAATGCAATTAAGAAAAAAAGCAAATTCCTTCCAGTTTGTGTTGTTTTATCTTAAACTAAAATTAAGAAACTAATAAATATATTTCGGTACGAAACACAGGTCAATCCGTACGAGCACAAAACCATTGACATGCAAAGTACTTACTTGGCGCTGAGTTTCAGGTGCCACTCGACGCTTTCCAGTAAGTGGCCTACACTCCAGAACCTTTCTGCCCCATTTGCCGTCAGTTCTGCGTATACCCTGCCCACAGTGCCCATTGCCACTTCAGCTTGCATTGTCAGCAACTTTAGTTCATTTATTTCGATGGGTGCCGGGAATAAAGCCACAATCGACAAAACACAATTTTACAGGAGAAGAGATTTAGTGGCAATTTTGAATAAGTCTAAACTACGAGGCGTATCAAAACCGTTTGTATATCAAACGATGCGTTATTTTTTCTGGAGTAACATTCAATGTGCATAAGGTTATAGTGCTTATAATATACTTTAAAAAAGGTAGAAAGAAATACATATTGCCGCTTCATACATTGAAAGTCGGTTCCGTAAGAGTACATTGTGGTTTTATTCCGGTAAAAAGTGTGCAATTAATCAAACAGCAAGTGTATTGCAGCCGCGGGCGCTGATCTGAAGGATAAAGTAATAGCCGTTTGCTTGTAGAAGATTTAAATAAAAGTTTGCACATTGTATATGGCACGATTATTCCGGTCAACAAATTTTAAATGATGAACGGGAATAACGATTCAATATCCATAGTGTTTTTGGTAAATCAGGCAGTTTCAAAGATAAAATTCTGAAAAAAATTCAAAAGGTGTATAGGGACCCGCAGTTTACTAAAATCACTTAATCGGAAAACTGCTGCTATGGCTATTGCGGCTTTATTCCAGGCACCCATCGATTTATTTTTGTACAGATATCTTTCATCGTAAAATATTACAAAGACAGTTTTCATTAGACTCAGGAATTTAACACAATATAAAACTACATATATTTATATTTTTAAATAAAACTTTTAAAACATAGTAAAAAATAAAATAATACTGTTAAAAATAATAATACTAACAATCGAGTAAAAATTCATCAACAAGTTCATAAACATTTTTTGATAGATTTAAAAGTAATTTTGTACATTATTATTTTTGCAAAAAGCTTGATAAGCTGGCTGTTAATGTTCCAGCTACTCTCATCCAGCGGAGCAGGGGCGTTTAATTGATGACATCGAGTATATAAATGTGATGGTGGGATCCTGCTTTCCACGATTTTAAAGAGCTTCCACCATTTTGTAATTTTTTCCGGAAAAGTAAAATAGTACCACTCGTTTTCCCGTAGAGGTCTTGAGACAGTGGTGACTGCCTTTGTTGCGGTGCTTCTTCTCAGCACTTGCCAAATGTTGGTCTTGAAGCGAAGCGAAGCGAAGGTAAGGCTTCGAGATTATGAGACAGTGTAAACGCTCCTTAGGATCAAAATATCTCTGGTAAATTTGAGAGGGTCGTTTTCCTGCAGTGGAGACTATAATGACTCTTGATGACGATAACAATAATTAACTACGACTCCATCTTATAAAAAAACACGAGTAAGCAGTGTGATAAATTAGCATAATATTTATGTCAATTAATTTCGAGCAACCTTACAAAAGTTTGTAAGCACTGTACCAATCATAAATCGATCCACGTATTGTAAGATTCTACTATCTACCTACTATCTATACTAATATTATAAAGCTGAACAGTTTGTTTGTTTCGTTGAACGCGCTAATCTCAGGAACCACTGGACCGATTTGAAAAAATATTTTTGTGTTGGATAGCCCCTTAGTTTCTGAAGGCTTTAGTCTATATATCATCACGCTAAGACCAATAGGAGCGGAGCACCAATGAAGAATATTTCAAATCAGTTATATTTTTCCTTTTGAGAGTTGACGCTGCCACCTGGAGGGATGTACTCTTAATACTGTAGATAGAAAATGTTACTCAAATAAAACATTCCTTTATTTTTGAAAAGAAAAAGAACTGCATTCAAAGATTTTCAAAAATTTGCTTGCCACAACCGGGAATCAAACTAACAAAAATTGTTAAAAATTACACTCTGTATTTTTATTGCATCAATCGTTAGGGTTAAGTATAAGGATGAAATCTCTGTAACAAACTTAATAAATCAAATGAAAGGAAAATCGTGAAATCTAAAATAATTTTAATTATTTACAGATAATGTTATGGTGAATTTTTGAAAAAAAAAATTGGAAATCTTTGAATGCTGTTCTTTTTTTTTAAACACGAAGGAATGCTTTCTGTAAAATTTTCTATTTACAGTATTAAGGGTACTTTTCCTCTAGGTGGCATTACAAAATTCCACCCTGTATATTCTTCATTTTCTTTGAACGTAGGATTACTTATCATGTATAGCGGGGCCTTCAAGATAGGTCCAAGTTTGACGTATTGCCCACACACCAATTGGCTTCATTAATTTTAAGCCTTATGCCACAGAATAATAATAAGTCTTATGCTGAAAACGTAGCGTTTATATTACTTCAATAGATGGTAGGTTTGCTCGCTGTGAAATAAATATCACATAATAGCAATTTAGATGGATTCTTAGAGCAATATTTCAGTCGATGTAGAGACGATACATCAAGTTAAATAAGTACTGTGCTATGTTTTACTTGTAATAAGAGTGATATTGCAAAAATATAGATATCTTATGTAGCTACTGAGTATAATAATATTTATTAGTAAGTAAAATGCTATTAAAGGAATCCTTTGAGACTATAAAATAGCTTCTTAAAAGCCTACTCGTATTTTCAGAATATAAAGAACTTTTGTGACATACTTACATTAGGGGAGAGTTCGGTATATTGTACCGCCGGGTAAATTGTACCACCCTCATATTTCGTAAAGTATTTATTGAATGTCTGTAATTGCAACACTCAGCGATACACAACTAAAATCAATTAATATCGGCCATGTGGTTTTTGCCGTGACAACAAACACGTGTGTTTTATTTTGAAAAGTATTTTTTCATTGTTTTCAAGTAACTTTTGACAATACATGTTTAGATTGTAATTTTGTTAAATTTAATCACATGGTATTTCTAATATATTATTTAGAAGCGTAAATTAGTGTGGATTACAATTATTTGAAACATTTTTCGGTATTTATAAGCTATATTTTTAACCGATTTTTTTAAAAGCACTATCACCTAGTCGGCTAAATTGTACCACATCAAGTTGTATGGAACTTTACCAAAGGATTTTGAAATTTTTTTTAGTAAATCATATTTTGAAGTTATAATAGCGTAGTTATGTTTGACTAACAATAAATGAAAGCAAAAGACTGGCAAAGTAGATTAGGTACAAGTGTGCGTTACGATAATTGGAATTACAAAACTTGTACTCAAAATCGTGATAACGAGTAAAACAATATCGATTGTCTATGTTATAAACTACTGTTCCTCTTCGTTTCCTAATTTGTTAAGAATGTATCGTATAATATTTTGCCATAGTTTTTTTATAGGCTTGAATTTTATTGAAATCCAATTTAGTAACCCTATGGTACAAATTATCGAACCGGTTGGCTAAATTGGACCGAAGCTCTGAACTCGTACTTTGTTGATTAATATACAACAATCATGTTAATTAATACTTATGAAATAGTAAGTTGAATAATGTATCTTTTTTTATATGTGTACCATGGACATTAGCAAAAACAAAAGAAAACTATGTGTAAAATGGGATTGAAAAAAACTGGTCCAAATTAGCGGACTCTCCCTTATAATTTATTTAACAGTTCGTGCACAGATTTACACAATAAGATAGTACTGGTTAAAAAAGTCTAGAAAGTAAGTTTTCTCTATTTAAAGATTTATTCCAGTCGACCATAGTCACAGGATAACCAAAACTAAAATAATTATAATTAAATATGAAAATCTCAGTAACATTCGACTCTGTTTTTCTATTATATGAGTGAGGGAGATAAATGCTAAACTTATCAATTTAATTTAAAGTTAATTTCACCAACAAACAAACAAGATGACTCCACAAACAGGATCTTAATATAATAACTCAAAGGTGACTGACTGACTGACATAGTAGCGCACAGCCCCAAACACTGGACGGATCGGGCTGAAATTTGGCATGCAGGTAGATTTTATAACGTAAGCATCCGCTAAGAAAGGATTTTACCAAACTTCACCACTAAGGAGCTAAAACGGGATCCACGCGTACGAAGTCGCGGGCGGCTGCTAGTAACAAAATGAAACCGGTTGACCCCAGCGAATACTTGACTCGAATTATTGACATACAAATGTCCTCCCAACTTATTTTATTACCTCTTTGACATTAGCTAAGGACGTCACACAATTGTGCCTAATTTTCTTCCCTACTGCGCAATGTAGAGGGATTTAGAAAATCCAATCTTATTTGGATACCAAAGTTATTATTTTATTACAATGAAAGTCCCGAAAACGATTTATTCTAGACCATTCTTAGGTTGAGTTGCACCACTATATTATTTTAACCGTTACAATAACGATAACGTGCTTTTTTATGGAGTTTTACAGATTTTTGACGTTTGTAAAAGTTAAATTAAGATGTCGCAACTCAGCCTTAAAATAATTTGATAGAAATTAATAATGTTCTGTTAACCCCTACAGCTCACCTGAACGTATTAGTTTAGGTACGTGTATTAGGAGTAGGTTCCCTAAAAGTTCAGGGGTCTACGGTAATCGAACTAGCGACCAAAGGAACCGTAGTCCAACACCGAAACCATTGCACTACGAGTGATGTCAAGTACTAGGTTAGGGTTAAGATTAATCTTAAATCGTGGAACCCTAATTAGATGGTCACATGAGACCGCGGTTACAATAATTTCTATTGTGTCTCGATTCGTAGATACTTGAAGGGTTAAACATTATATTAAAGATATTGCAATACACGAAGGTGAGTGAGCTTTACATGTGTGGTGG